AGCGTATCCGCTGTTGGGGAATAAGGGACCCTATTCTAATTATTAAGGCTCCTACCTTAATCCTGGCACGAAACAAAGATCAGCTGCCAAGGATCTTCTTGGTCGTCGGGGCGGCCTTTTTCTTGCTCTTCTCTGTTTCCTGCACTGGCATCTTCTTCGCCTCTGGCAGCTCAGGTGCCGATTGCGCCTTCTTTCCGATAGATTCATCACCAGTAGGCTCAATCTCTCCCTTCTTGATGGGAGCGGCATCGTTCTTGCCGGCTGGCATGCTCTTGCGAATTGCCTCCATGCTGGTCTCAATGCTCTTGCCCTGGCCACCCATGATCCGCACATGCTGTTTCATGGGCATTCTGGAGAGCCCATTCGGCCCATCCTTCCTTGGCAACGCCCTGGAGTATGAAACATTCGGTCTGCCAAAGTAGGAGCAGAACTCGTGAAAATCGACCTGGCCGTCCCCGTCGGCATCAATCTCCTAGGCATCGCAAGAGAACAGTTTAGGGTTTAGGGTTTAGTCCCTAAGCCTGAGATCCTGATAAAACCCTTTCGGAACCCGAGAGAACCTTTACAGTAGAGAATCCTTGCAGAGCCCTACATGCCCTGCTACTTCCCTGCAGACCATAAGGCTCTTGTTGGACAGGGCATGTTGTGGCGAGGTGGTTCGGAACTGGACGAGAAGCTGCCGGAAATCTGCAGTGCTTTGGTTTATGCTTTCATCGTTGTCAGCGGCTAAGTGCCATGCGCGCCATTGGGCAAATCCAGCTTCAACCCACTACTTCATCAGCTCCTGTCCCAGACATCCCAAAACCACCCAAAGCCTTGAAACAAAAAACCAGCCACTCGAGGCTCCAGAAACCTCGCTATTGATGGAAACTCCCGGGTAATGCCCTCCTTCAACGATCAAGGCTTTCTGGACTTGAAGCCTGAAAATCTAGAGCTAGAGCCCTAGAAGACGCTGTAGAAGACAAGAGGCCTCAATGGTGAAGCCGCGGGATGCCGCCAGAGCTTTGAGCTCCATCATCAGCGGCTCCATCTCTTTGGGAGACAGATTTCCTGCAAGGTGCATCACTGTGCTGGAATATTGTCCTAATGTATAAGCGCCTTGTGAGCAACAGTACCAGGGACAAAAGAAACACTGGCTCACTGTGCTGTCTACGGGTTTAGGGAGTTCAGGGGTGTAGGGTGTAGGGGTGTAGGGTATAAGTGTGGGAATCGCGGCAAAGTGTCACACCAGCCCTAAAAAAAGGTTTGAAGGTTTGCCGGGTTGCAGGGATTGAGGTCTTGTGGTTGGGAGTCTGGGACAGACAAAAGGCTTCCCAGCACTTCTGCGTCAGGTACCTGACTACCAGCAACGAAGGCTTCAAATGCTGGGCGTAGCTTGGTGGGTTAAAATCTACACACACACACACATACGCAAATACATACAAACAATCTCTCTCGCCGTCTCCCTCTCCCTCTCTCTTTCTTTCGCTCCCTCTCTATCTCTCTCTCTCTCTCTCTCTCGGGATGTCTACGTGTATGAATACGTGTACCTATGTGTACATCAAAATAGTGGCTTTTGGAGTTCAAGGATCCGGATCTCTGGAAATCCAGGAAGCCGCTTCCACTCATACTGACCCACACCCCCACCTTGCACAGCATCGAAACGCCGATAGAAGAGCAAACCTCAACCGTAACCTGCACAGGGGTCTCCTGATCGCTTGGCATCCAGGATCCGGAATTCTTGCCGAAGCAGCTCGTCAAACTCTTCCTCCATCGACAAGAGGCATGCGGCCGTGAACTCGAGGTACTCACACGAATTATCGCCATTGACGTCCTCAGTTGACAGAAAGTGGGTGACCCTAAGTTCGAACGGCGCCAAACTTCACCCTCTGAATCGACTAAAGTCTGAAGCCCGGAGGCACAGAATGTCCCACACCTAAAACCTATACCCGAATCACCGAGTCCAGCACAAAGCATACTCAGAGCCAAGTCGCTAGAGCCTTGGCGGTTTTCTTGGCCAAATCCTTCGATATCCCCACCGACATCAGCCTCATGGTAGGGTCAGAGGGGTCTGGGGGCTTTCCTTTGGGGGTAGAGAGTTCAAGGCTTCGTGGTAGAATTTCTGGAGGAGGGGTTGAAGATGGACTTGGGGTTTAGGGTTTAGGGGTTTCCGGTTTAACGATCTCGCAACTCGGACTCGGCCAGACGAGGTCTCTGTGTCCCACACCAACTGGCTTCAGGGTTTAGGGTGACACCAGGGTTGCAGCCCAGCCGCAAGAACACGAATGGCACATAACAAGCCCTCGAAACTCCTAACACTATTCTTATTAATGGTAATATTGCTACTAGTATTAATCTTACTATTACCATTCAGACTAATATATTAGTATTAGTATTAGTAGCAGTAGCAGTGCTTGCAAAGTCACGCTGAGACCATCTCTGGGGTATCCAGAATGCCACTGTGGTCCGTATCGAACTTGACGAAAATTTTCGCAAATTTGTCAATGCAGGTACAGTTCGCTGCCACCTGCCAAAACTGGAGAAGCCCACTTACCGTTCGAATTTTGGGATAGCCGAGTTGACGGTTGGAAGCTTGCGAGATCCGGAGACAGCTACGCAGAAATACTGCCCTTTGGTGATAAGTTGGAACGTACCCTTGCGTGACGCTATGTGCTGCTTGCAGGCTCATGTTCTTACCACATGCCAGCAACGCTCCATGCCATCCTTGTGTCGGGGTATGTCTGCTTCAGTGATGCTGGGGAACTGAAAAGAGCGCAATAGAAGTGGGGAGCGCAGTTCTGCAAGGTGCCTAAAAGGACAATATGTGTATTTTTGTTGCCCTTACCTGCCTTCAAGCAGAAGGCTCTTTGGCATGCGGATCGATCCCGCCATGTGAGAACCGCAGAGCACAGCTTTTCCATCTCTTGCCTTGGTCCCGAGATTCTTGGTTGGAAGTGAGCGGTTTCGGTAAAATTTAGGGCTTTGGGCTCGAACAGGTCGAAAGACTAAGAGCAGTGTGAGGTTAGGCCAGGGTTTCGAGTCTAGGTTTGTGGCGTCTGTGAACAATTTGGAATTGAAAACCTTCGCAGAAACCCGGAAAGTAACTCCTTGTCAAGACCTTCATGAATGCATACATACATGCATACATACATACATACATACATACATACATACATACATACATACATACATACCTTACATACCTACGTACATAAAGAGTCAGACATACATACATACACATAATCCTATGTCTTGGTATGATACACACACACGAGAGTCTAAGTGCAAAGGCCAATGTAGCCCAACACTCTCCTGCACGTCTTGTGGAACAGCTAAACCTTTTGAACAAACTGTCTCGGTCCAAATTCACCCTCCACGGCTCACCTTTCCGTGCAGTAGCCCTAATAGCAACCCTTAAGACTTAAGCCTTACAGCAGCCCCTAACACCCTTAAAGCCGTAAGCCCCTACCCCAAACCCTGAAAAAGTAGACTTCAAACCCCTTGGACCAAAGAAAACCGAAGTCAAAGGGACTGAGTCAGCTCCTCGGCCTCAGGTACCTTCAACCAGTGGTTCTGAAGACACTCCTGCGTTTGGGACATTGGCTTCACGGCCTGGGGGGCTGGGTGGGAGAATTGTGTCTAGGGTGTTTTGAAGGAGCAGGTGATTCTGTAGTCTTAGGGCTCTAAGTGGGTTCTGGTACATTATTTTCGGCCCCTACGAGCAAGCTTTGGAAGGCGTCTGAAACAGGCTGTAGCAGGCAGCTCCGAGGTGGGTCTTACATGCAAAGGTTTGGTGTTTAGGGTTTAATGGTTTGGGGTTTAAGGTTTCAGGATTAGGGTTTAAGGGTTTTTCAGGGTTAGGGTTTAAAGGCTTAGGGCTTAGGGTTTAAGGGTTTGGGGTTTAAGATTTTCAGGGTTAGGGTTTAAGGGCTTAGGGCTTAGGGTTTAAGGGTTTGGGGTTTAAGGTTTCAGGGTTCGTGTTTAAGGGCTTTGGGTTTAAGGTTTAAGGGCTTGGGGTTTAGGGTCTCGGCGATCACAACGGACAGCGAGGCATGGGTCGATGAATCGGCTGAGTGAAGCCACAAACTGGCCAAGTCAGGGGACTGACTAGGCAAGGGGCCTTATGTTTTGAAGAACATATTAATACTAATCACAATGTTCGTATTAATAACCAGAATGCTAGTCGCAAGAAAAGTAAGAATAATCATAGCAATGACAACAATGATAGGGAATGCGACAAAATGGGCCCTGAGGGCGACGCTTTCTGTAATAATAACGATACTAGCAATTTTTTCAGGGGTTCAGGATGTAGGGCTTTCGGCCGGCAACTCCGAAATCCCAAGAAACCTCAGCTCCAAATGACAGCAGGAGTAGAAACTTCGCTACCGGCACCTGCCCAGCAAAGACTCCTGATGTGGCAGCTGCTCTATGAATCAAGACCACCGCCGAACTCGTTAGAACTATCACTCCAGGAAAAAAATAGTACCTATAGTCTCCATTGTAGTTCCTTTTTGGGGATACCTTAGAAAATCCTTAATATATAATTGGTTAAACCAAAAAATGAACTACAATGGAGACTACAGGTAGTCACAATAATTGAACCATGAAAATTTTAGTTCTCTCTGTTTACAAATAATATAGAATAAAAATATTCTATATTTCATAGAATTGAAAATTATGTGTCCTGTGCAGAGGGCCGAGCACTTTCTCGGAAAGTCAGCAGCATCTTGCACACAGTCTTTGCTTCTGCGCTACATCTGAGAAGATCCCAATTCCTCAGTTCCGGGACGCGTCAGGGTGTAGGGTTTAGGGGTTGTAGATGAGAATGGTGGTCATTGTCATCGCTGTTTTCTGCTTCATCATCACCTCAACTCCAGGACTAGCACTGTTGCCAGTTTAACTAGAGACACTACAGGCGGGAGCCGTCCGCTCCAAGCATCAGCGCTCGAGATGCTTGGGTCGGACTATGCCTGACTCAGTTCTTGACTGATAGGAAGAAACTTACCTAATTACCATAACACTTGACATCGCCATGGCCATTCTTGTCGTTGCTATGTAGTCGCACACCTTTGCAAGGCGAACAATTGTTTCCTTGTGGGGCTCTCGGTAAGGGACCCAAAACTGGATCCTGAACAGTGAGATCGTGTCTTAGCGTTAATTTCAGAAAAAAAAACGTGTGCAGACAGGTGTCGGGCCTTTGCTATGGAGTTCCACCCACTTGGCTTGCTGCTTTGCAGCACCCTCAACATTTCCCCGTACTTCGAAGGGGAGCTTGTTGGTGAACATCTCGAACATGACCTCGTCGTGCTTTGGGTGATGCCCTACTGAAGTCTGGATTCCGAGGTGATGCCAAAGTTCTTTGTTGCTTACTACAGCAACTGCTAACATTACAGTGTGCCGAAACTAGAACTGTTCTTTGGCCAAGATTGCCACGCAATCTTGCAATCTTGCTCTCGCCGACTAGTTTACCTTTTAAGGGTTGCGACCAAGATTGCCAAGCAATCTTGCAATCCTCGTCTCCAAAAACAAGTCGGCGAGCAAGTGGAGCAGGCGGGGGGGGGGGGGGCAAGATTGCAAGCACTCTTGCAATCTTGGTCTCCAAAATGTAACTAGTCGACAGGCAAATGGGGCAGGGGCAGGATGACCAAGATTACTTGGCAATCTTGCCCCCCCTGCCTGAGCAAGATTGCAAGACCGTCAAGCATTTGGATAAACATAAAACTTCTAGTTTGCAGGCACAATGTAACATTACGAGCAATCCTATCGGGTATTCATGTCCCTGCAACGGACAAGAAAAAGCCAAGACCTGTATTGCATTGCACGGGTGTGAAACAACTAGACAAGATGGAAGGCATCTTTTCTATCGCCCTTCCGAACACGCAGCGATCAACGTCCTACCATATAGCAACGGGCCCATCAATCAAGAGCCTCCTTTGGAACCCAAAAGCCCAAACCCCAAAGCTCCGCAAGTTTAAGTCCTGACACCCAAACCCACCCATAAACCTTGAACCCCTGCACCTGCACACCCCATGAATCCGAAAACTCCAACGCCCCCAAATCCGTACGAGACGATAAACCCCTGAAAGCCCTCATGCCTCTAAAACCCCAAGTAACCCCCTGTACCCCTATGTCCTACTGCCCCAGAAACCCAGAAAAAGCGACGAGCAGCACAACCCATGCTCCAAACGTCGCTTTTTGGGCCACAGCTTCCGGACCAGACCTCTTGCAACGTTTTTGTAGTAGACATAGTAAGCATAGCAAACAGCTATAATAATCGTAACTAGTAGCAATAGTATTCATCACTTTTATATATTATAATGTAATTGGATCCAGGAAACGGGGCTTTTGGGCATATACTAGGCACACGGTATTTGGGGCGTCGAGATGTGACTTGCGGTTTCGGGTGTGGGGCCTTACGCGTTAGAGTGTGAGGGTGGCTCGAGTCTCATGAATAATAATAATAATAATAATAATAATAGTAGAGGCACCTTATTTATCAGAACAAGGCTTTAGGGTATGCCGTAACAAAAATTGGAACAGGCAGCCCTGAGGAATCATGGTGGTAATTGTTCAGGTTTCTACACTACGGGGTTTTGGGTTTAGGAGTGTTGAATTTCAGGGTCTGAGGTTCGAGTTTTTTACTCGTATTTCAGATCTAAACCTTAAGCCATAAAAGACGAACCCCGCATTGCCCCGCACCCCTGCCCTTATAAGCCCAAAAACCCCCTAACCTATGGAAGCCTAAAGCCCCTAAAGCCTTAAACACCAAATCCTAGTTGGCCAACACATAACGCTAAAGCCTGAAAGCCCCAAAATCTGAGTGCAACCGTACTGTAAGACCCTAGAATCCCGAGTCCCAATCCCCAGCCCAGCAACACAACCAAAAACAAACAAAAAGGCCTTAAACCCTGGAGCCCTTCATCTCCGAACCCCAACTCACACATGAGCGCATTTGGGGTTTAATAATTGTGATAAAAACAATAATAATAATAATAATAATAATAATAACAATAATAATAACAACAATAACAATAACAATAATAATAATAATAACAATAATAATCATAATAATACTAAACCTCGAAAACCCTGCAGGCCCTGTAAGCCAAAAGCTCGACCCATATAAATCCAAAACATTGACATCTAGCCGCAATAGAGATAAATCCCAAGGCCTGGTACACACCCTGAAACCCAAAACCCCATGGCCGATGCCCATTAAAGTCGTCGTCGTAACCTTGATTTTTTCTATAGAACCCCTAAACTGAACACAAATTAATAGAGAGAACCCTCAAGAGCCTCAAGTCTTAAAGGGATCCAAACTTATAAGACCCCTCGAGAAACCCTAAACCCTAAACCCGAACCATCTTCTGGCAAGCTACGATCCCCAACAGAAAGAGCAATCTCGCACATGTACCACGAGAACACCGCGCGCAACGCGCGCGTGCACCCCGGTCCGCGAGAGTGGCAGGGGGTTGGAGCGACCACTACGACTAATAAAGTGCAGGGGCCTGGAATAATTCGGATAGGGTTTTGGTGTACTTTATGGTATGGCTATATTCAAAAACCCCGAAAATAGTGTAGGTGATCATCAAGGCCCGCAAGTTAGGAGCCTGATTAGGAAACCCGGGGGGTTCACTGTAGGAGTCCTAATATGTTGGGGTTATAGGGCCAGGGTTTCTTAAAAAGGTTCCTACGTTAGGACGACCAAAACGACCAGGACGACCACAACCACCAGAAGACCACGAGACCGCCAAAATAAAACACCCGGCAGATCAGCCAGAGAACTCCCCAGAAGAGAAGAAAACGCAACCCTAAAACCCTAAACCCTTTTTTGAGCAGGGACTGCAATGCACTAAGCCCTAAACCCTAAACCCTAAATCCTAAACGGCCCCAAAAACCCCTCCCTTTGGGGCGCCTCCGGAGCCATAGTCGCCGGAGTGCCAGCAACCTTCGAGCCTCTGAGTCCGAAGATGCCGCGGCTGCAGATCCTGAGGAAGTGGCTGGCTATCTTTCTGGTTCAGGGGTTTAGGGGTTTAGGGTTTAGGGGTTTAGGGTTTAGGGTTTACGGTTTAGGGTTTAGAGAGAGAGAGAGAGAGATGCAGATGGATAGATAGATAGGTAGGTAGATAGAGATAGATAGAGATACATGGATAGATGGATAGATGGATAGATGGGTGGATAGATAGAGGGTTTAGGGATGCTTGGGTGTTAGCTGTTCGACCCTCTTTCGTGGGATCTTGGTGGGTGCAGAATTTCACATAGGCTGATAACAACTGCCCTAAACCCTAAACCCTAAACCCTAAACCCTAAACCCTAAACCCTAATGTAGTTTAGGATCGCAGGCAGATTGAAGCGCCGGGTTTCTGGCTTAGGGGCTTAGAACAGTGTCGGGTTGAGGGCGGGTCGGGGGGTTCTTGCTCTCCACTCGGACTTGCCAAATCAGGTTCTTATCTATTCAGCGGTGCAGTCTTGGAGTGAAACTACATATATATATATATATTTACATTGTCATTCATTTATGCTATATATATATATATATAGTGATTTTTTTTTTTGGGGGGGGGGGGGTTGGGAACATACCGCAGCCCCAAAGGTGTGGCCGTATTCAGGGTTTAGGGTTTAGCCAATCTTTCCGGGCAGCCCTAAACCCTAAACCCTAAACCCTACAGCGGTGCCGCAGAATCTTGGTCGATTGGCTTGGATTTTGGGGCTCAGGCTTGTGAATCACCCGGCAGGTGCCGTGTATTCGGCCCGGGATGGGTTTACACATCTAATGACTGTCTTAGGGACTGTCTAACACAGGGCTCCCTTGTTAGCATCATAAGCAATGAAAACTTCATGCCTGATGCCAGAAGTAAAACCCACACGTAATGTAGGGGCCTTTATTATTGGAATAGGGTTTTGGAGGTTCCTTCTTATGATGATGGCATAGTATACCCCCAAACCCTATTCTTGTTATTAAGGCCTTTCTGTATCCTGCTAAATCATAATCCCTGAAGTGTCATTCCACTGCCGCAGCCTTGGTTTCTGCAGGGGTTTTAGGTCTAAGGCTTCGGGGGTCAATGTCTTCAGCACGTTAAGGAAACTCCCAAACAGTGAACCGCTTAAGTTTGGGGTTTAGGGTGTTGAACGACTTCCCGAGCAGCCTCGGGTGTACCTGATAGGGGGCTTGCGAGTGGTCTGTGAGAAACTGGGTTTAGGAGGTCTTGATAAGCTTGAGGAACCCAGATGTAGTGGAACTTGTTAAATGCGATATTCGACGTGTTTTTGAAAATATTCGTATAACATACCTCAGACCTTAGTCTGAAGCAACACCGAAGAGTTAAAGCATTTCATGGCTTAGGGTTGAAGACAGTTGGGTCGGGCTTTCCAGCGCTCTGTCTTCGTCGTCCTGGCATGATACTCGAGTTCCCTAGTGGGGGCCTGAAAAACTTATAATACCCTGGGGTTCCCTCATATGATCAACCTAAACGGAAACCCTAGACCCTAAACCCTAAACCCTGAACCCTAATCCCAAAACCCTAATCCCTAAACCCTAATCCCTAAACCCCATTACTATGACCCCAAACACTCGTCTAAGTCTCCGGGTCCCTTCCTGGCGTCCCTACACTCCGGAAGCCTCGAGCCCCCCCAAACTCTTCAAACCCCGACCGCTCTAAACCCTAATGAAGCCCTAAAGCTATAACCTGCTTCAGGGATTCAGGGGTTAGGGTTCAGGGTTTAGGGTTTTGAGTTTAGGGTTTTAGGTTTAGCATTTCTAAAACAAACAACTCCCTTCAAACACCGACCAAAAAAGCTCCTGGAACCGCGAGCTCGATCTCAGATTTACCCAAAACCCCGTGTTCTTGCTAAGCAAGCAGAGGATCCTTGTGGGGCTTATATGGGCTGAGGAACTTTGACGCCATAATCCGAGATCCGAAAAAGTCAGTTTTGGAGGGTAGTAGACTATGAATATAATCGGGACTATATAGGGGAGAATCTTGCCAAAATATTTCGGCCCATATACAGACACCTGGTCGGGAGCCTTGTTGGGTGGTACAATCCCAAACCAGAGATGCCTGCGGCCCTGACAACCTACAGTTCTAGGCGGAGCCTGAGTTCGTGATATACATCCTTGAAAGGGGGTAGATCGTTGGGGGCTGCGGCTGAACCCTACACCCAAAACTGTCTGGTGCTTAGTAGGGAATGGGGGAATGGGCTATAGGGACTGGTATAAGAAACCTTAAGGGACTATCATAGGGATCCATTCCCCCATTCCCTACTAAGCACCAGACAGAAAAGCCGTGTAGGGGTTGACT